AGGAAGATGAGATGGCCTATGTAACGGTCCTGTAATCTGAGAGATATAATTACAGGATACTCTGTCAGTCATTTTGCTAGCTGAGATCTGTTGAGATTTACAGTTTGGGACTCGACTGACAGGCTGACGGAATGATACCATGTGTCTGTTTTGGGTTTGATAGAGACTGTACGTCTGCTCTGTTCTTTTCCCATCTGCTGGTGGGTGCGTTAAGGTCCCCTCAGTCGCTGGCTGCCATGACGGAAACATGATGCTTCTATTATCCCTGTTTTCTGAAGTGGAAATGTGTCCGTTCTTTTTGCGGTGAAGCGAGGACACTCTCTTTGAGTCCCTTTCAGTTCTAGGGCAAGACGCTAGTGCTGCCCCACTCCCTAAATACATGTCAGTCATCTCTAATGCCAAGCTCGCCGTGTCCAGGGATCTACTCTTCCTTTTTAAGGCCAGAGGACTCTGCAGAGGAGCCAGTGGACTCGACTGATTGACTTGTGTAAGGCTAAGGTGACGTGGCAGGCTGGTGATTCTCCAAGTATTACTGAGGAGACTCTGTTCATAGAGGTCAAACATTTGTAAGTCACATTCAGCAAACGCATCCTTTTGCAGGTAGCTTTCTTCAAACACTTCGTAAGGCGATGTGATGTCTTCCTCCGCCATTACCATATCCATCTGCTGGTCATATTCCCCCTCGTTATCCATGTCCACGACATCAAATGTGACAATGGCAGGGAGGGCTTGCATGTTTTGGGCAAAGGGAGAGCCTGACTCAGAGCCTCCCATGATTTCAGTTGAATTACTATTAAAATGTGATTGTTTTGTAAAGTCCACTAGGGCTTGGGAGAAGCAAACTGTCTGGTCATCCTCCAAGTCATTCTTTGTTTCTTTAGATACATCATGATTTCCTCTTAATTGTGGGGACTGTGGCTTGTTTTGCTCGGAGTCAATTTCTTGTGATTTACATGTTTTTGAGGCAAGGGTGCCAAAAGCTGCATCTGACAATTTAGGGTTGCCAACCATTTTCTCCCTATTCCCACCATTAAAGGCTTCTAAGCTTCTTTCCTTTAAGGCATGTGATCCATGTGGCATCATGTTTCCTTTTTTTTTCAAAGCCTCTGGATTGACCTGGTCCTCTTTTATATAGGCTTGAGTTGTGTTCACTTTAGAAATTATTTCTTTAAAGCTATTATCTTGGTGGATCCTCCCTTTGGTGAATAGAGCCTGCTTTTTGGAAGGTTTACACATGCTTTGCAGCTCCGCACAGAGAAGATCCTGCTGGATCAAAGTTAGCCTTTCTTCAATTAGACCTGTTTCAGGAGCAAACACAGCATTTACCTCTTCATCACTGCACTGAGCTAGTATGTCTAAAAACTCAAGGGGATCAGAGACAGGCAGCTTAGCTTTTTCAAAAGGTGGACTGATAAGACTGTCATCAGGCTCAAAAAGCTCATACAGCGCATCGCCACTGTAACTGTCCCTTGGTAGTCTATCGGTCCTGATCCGGTCAACTTTATCACGTCCGTCTTCATCTTGTCCTGGGGTGGTAGAGTCATAGTAACCCTCATCGCTGTTAGGAACTGACACTTGATGGTCGCTCTGTGGGGTCATGACATCCGAAGATGTAAGGGTGGTCTCTGTAACTCCAAGAGCACCATTGCTGTTGCTGCTGATGTCCATGGTATAGGAGCTAGATGGCTCTTCAGGTGTCATCCTAGGACTTTCACTGCGCTCTAGAAAGTATTCTTCCTGGTTGTGGGTATAGCAAACATCCTCTGCAGCCTCATTTTCCCAGAGGTCGTGGAGATAGTTCCCGTCCACCTTATCAGGGGTGGCCATTTCTTCTCCTCCACCCTGGTAGGTAACATAACAGGAACTCCTTTTGCCTGCATTTCGACTCCTTTCCCCTGAGACTGTGCCCTGAGAATCTGCAATACCGTCGTCGTCTTGATCAGCTATTATGTCACCACAGCCAGTGAGCGAGTCAAAACTCTTTAGAGAGGCCACATCACCAAAAATCAAGATAATCTGAGATGAGCCAGTAGGCAGCTGGATGTTCACTGTAGACTCTAGGTTAGTCTTTACCATTTCCTCACCTTTCATCAGTTCCCCTATGAGAGAATCCAGACTCCCTTGTTTCACCATGTCTTTCTCAGACACTATGACATCAACATTAATACATTCAGGAGCAATTGTCAAACAATCTTCGACATTTGCCGAAACAGGCACATTGGATTCAGACAAACTGCCCAGGCACTCAGTGTCATTTTGGTCAATAGGCACCTCTTTGTTGCAGACATTTTTTTCAAAATCACAATTTCTATTCTTTCTATGACGTCTGATGCTGTTAAAAAGTCCCCTCAAACCCTTTTTCTGCGGGGGGAGAGAGAATGACTTCTGATCACCAGTAGGGTGACCAAATACACTACAAGTCTTTCCAGCAGGATCTTTCTGTCTGTGGTACTCAAAATATCCTGCTGGGACATATTCAATTCCCGGACTGTCCTCCCAGTCTGCCTTGCTAAGTCCATCATGAGTTTTACTCTTGCTGACTCCCTTCTTAGAGGACCACTTGTTCAGATTTTTTTTCCTCCCCCCAAAGAAGTTGGGTAAAACACAGATGCTTTTACGTCCTCCAAAGAATCTTAAGGCAGTCCTCCTCAGTTTCCCTGATGGCTGATGCTCAGGGGGTACAGCATCAAATATGTCAGATGGAGGTTTCACCTCAGTCTGTGAATCCTGGTCACCCATGGCCGTCTGCTCACAGCCAGCAGACAAATGCTTTGTATCACTCACTGGCTCATTTCCTCCGCTGGGCTCCATGGCAACAATCTACAGGAAGGTGAAGTGAAGAGATAGCATGATGGTATCACCATCAGGTGCAAAGACTGCTGCCAATCATTCTTCCAAAACCATTTCCTGCCATTTTTCTGAAACATAGGACAAACAAAGGATTAGGCATAAAATGATTAGATTCTGTGTTATACACTGGTGGGCCTACATTAATGATTTTGGGCTTATTTATGGAGGTTTTCTTTACATCAGAGGAAATAACATGTATAGGTAATTATCTAGCTGGCAAAGCGTTCTGAACAAGTGTTATGCTATCTGCATAGAAAGTGTAAAGCAAACTGTCCATTGATCTATGTGCAACAGTAGACACAGTAAAATAAACAATTGATAGGACATATCCCAAATTGTTTTATCTTGGCATAGCTTTCAAGGAATCACCTGTTTTGGAAGCAAAATCATTATGAAGACTAATTGTTTATGCAACACACTACACGAGAAAACAGAGAAGCGTGACGTTTACCAAGAAGTCGTCAGGTTGGGACCACAAAGCTATGTATCGCTAGTAATGGCAGCTAGCTAGTTAACGTTACATTGTGCGTGGCCCGCAAATCTAAAAGGATGTAGCACTATCGGCTGCCTAGGCTAGCTACCAGCAAGTTATCTACCTAGCTAGCAATATTTAGAAAACGGAGTTGGTTGTATTAATCTAGTTCGTTATCTATCTATCTAGCTAGCTTCTTCTATTAAATAACATTTTACACCCCTTGGCTCGATAGCAACAATGCATGGCTAGAAAATACACGTAGACAGCAGAGTTGACTAGCCTAGGAGACAAGCATTGGCTGCTAGCATTACATTGAGTGGAATATGTGCTATATTTTCACGCCTAATTTCCAATTAGGGTTTATGGGATGGGGGGATATATAAATGAACAGACCTTGTTGGGCTTCTAGACGCCAGAATAATAAACAATAAATCCGATTCACTTTGTTCAGTCGTGCAACCCAAACAGTCTCGAGCCTCTTGTTAATGTACGCATTGAATTCTGGTAGTTGTAGTGAGGGCGAGGTGTGTCCTGGGGTCCAAAGAGGGTCTACTGTATATATTGAGAGGCTTCGTCTCTTCCTCTCTGATTTATCTTATACCGGTAGTTCTAGATTGCTAAAGACCATTTATCCCCCAAAAATTGATTCAAAGAGGATGCTCAAGCTAGAATAATTTTGCCAACAAGACATTTAGTTAATACTTTCCTGACTGACAATGTATCTTTCCTTTGACGTTGTAAGACTACATGCTATCATAGCTCAATTTAATTGTTAGTACTGGAATGTCATGCTCGATATAGCTTCCGTTACACCCACAGTCGATTATTATATATACACACCGAGTGTACAAAACATTCGGAACACCTGCTTGTTCCATGACATAGACTGACCAGGTGAAGGCTATAATCCCTTATTGATGTCACCTGTTAAATTCACTTCAATCAGCATAGATGAAGGGCAGGAGACTGGTTAAAGAATGATTTTTAGCCCTTGAGACAATTGAGATATGGATTGTTCCTGAGGGCGACAGTAGCCTAGTGGTTAAGTGTGTTGGGCCAGTAACCTAAAGGTCGCTGTTTTGAATCCCCAAGCTGACTAGGCAAAAAATCTGTCGATGTGCCCTGAGCAAGGCACTTAACCCTAATTGCGCCTGTAAGTCGCACTGGAAAAGAGTGTCTGCTAAATGTAAAAAATTGTGTATGTCTGCCATTCAGAGGATGAATGGGCAAGACAAAATATTTAAGTGCCTTTGAACAGGGTATGGTAGTATGTGCCAGGGGTACTGGTTTGAGTGTGAAGAACTGCAACGCTGCTGGGGTTTCACACAGAACAGTTTCCCGTGTGTATCAAGAATGGTCCACCACCCAAAGAACATCCAGTCAACTTGACACAACTGTGGGAAGCATTGGAGTCAACATGGGCCAGCATCCCTGTGGAAGCTTTCGACACCTTGTATAGTCCATGCCCTTTTGAATTGAGGCTGTTCTGAGGGCAAAAGGGGGTGCAACTCAATATTAGGAAGGTGTTCCTAATGTTTTGTACACAGTTTGTATATATATTTCTATAAATAATTGGTGTAAAGCACCTTGCAAGTAATTATATAATACTTTATCATACATAGTGTATGCAAATAATGTTTAAAAATAAAAAAGTACATTTTCTGTAGCAAAATTTGTTCAAGACATTTTAATGGTTGTAATTTCTACTGCACATTCTATTTTATGCTGACATTGCAGTATAACAAAAATTCCAGACAGATTTTTTATGGAAGAGGGAGAAAATAAGAAAATAAAAAACATGATTGCATAATTGATTGAAAAAACATTAATTGAGAATAAATATATTACACAAATATTCTCAAATGCAGGACAAAACATTTGTACTATTTCAACATCACTATGAAATGTTTTGCAAAAAGTAAGCATTATGTTTCATGTAGCAAAAGCATAGGGACAATATATGCTTTCAGAGATGCATAGCAGTTGTTGGGACTGATTTGTATTGCAAGAAGTTTATCATGCTTGATGGCATTTCCAAATGGTCAATGGACTGGATTCTGTTGATCTTCCGGAGGTATCCTCGGATGGCAAGTCGGCACTGTGATAAAAGGGACTTGGGAAAACCTAGCAAAAATAACAATTGAATTTGAGTTCAAGTTTTTAAAAAAATACCTGGTTATTACACATACACAGATTCAATAGTCTATTCAAATAGTCAAATGCTGCTCTGTCAGCAAAGCAGTACAGTACTGTATTGTATTGTCAAGTAGCAATTCAACCTAAAAAACAATCTGAGATGCTTGTCTAATGTCAATAAAAACATTACCAGAAATCAATAGGAGAATACCAAGGTTTATAAACAGCATAACTCCTGCATTACCTCTTTCTTGCAGCAGCAGCTCCACAGCCTCATTCTGCTTCGTGGACTTTTCTATGATGAGAGTGGGGAGGTAGACATTTGCACCAAAGTCAATCAAAAGTTGGATGTACTCCACCCCACAGCCATGTCTGAGGCACATTTCAAGCACGGTCTTAGGCTGCTTGATTTTACTAAGAAGTTTTGCATCTGTGCAGTTGTAATTTGGATCAGCCCCGTAGAGAAGCAATACTTTAAAGCAGTCTAAGTGTCCATACACAGCAGACAGATAGAGAGGGCCACTAGAAACACTGGCACTTGAAGTATACAGCAAGACTTTGGATCTGGAGTTGACCTCAGCACCATGTTTAAGAAGTTGCTTCAAAATCTCAACATCCCCTTCCCTGGCTGCAGTCAGGACCGGAGTGCAGTTGTTATACAAGCTGCCATTGGGGTTAGCACCTGCCCTGAGGAGGGCTAAAACACAGTTGAAGTATTTCCCACAGACAGCTGTGAAAAGTGGGGTCTGAGCCTTCACGTCTAGACAGTCCACCTCCGCTCCGTGGGCCAGCAGAACCTGCAGACACCTGAGATGACCTTTAGATGCAGCCATTCGTAAAGGTGTTCTTGGGATACCCCAGCCGCTCCTACAGTTGATGAACTTTCTGTACTTTTCTTGAGAGAGCAGCTCATCAAGGAGTCTGTCATCATTGTTGGACACTGCCTGATGGAGCAGTTGACCTTCACCGTTGTAGTCCTTTTCTTCTTGATTTATTTTTAACCGGATCATAGAAATCTGGTCGAAACAATAAAGAAAAACACCATAATTAAGGCCCTAATATCCATAACACATACACTGCTGGTTATACAAAATGATGAGCATCAACTAGTTACAATGGTATCATATTTTTTTTTTAAGGCTGTTATAGCTAGCTATTTTTCTATGACGCAGGATAAGGCAGACATTTCCATGTTATGTACAACAATAGATAGAATAATCTTTGACAATGACTAAAGATTAGTCAGTTTGCTAGCAAATAACTTATTCAGCAGTTCATGTTGTTTATAGTTAACTAGTAGTTGACTTCCTGACTAACAATCAATATCGGATTATTTCTGTGAGTATTGAGACCATTTTAGTTAACCCAAACACAAACCCTTTTCCTAACCTTAACCTTCTTCTCCTAACCTGCTACGCTAATTCTCCTAACCTGCTGCATAAATTCTCCTAACCTACTAAGAAAAAGTCACTTCCGGTCGGAGCTGTATTCCACCTAGTCAGAACTGTTTCCACTAGTTACCACAGCCACAAATATCGTAAAAATTCATGAAAACAAAAAAAATATTTTTAGTCTTAATTTAAGGTTAGGCATAAGGTTAGGTTTAAATCACATTTTAAGAAGAGATCAGTCAAAACCGTCCACCATCACCAAGCTTAGCTAGCTTAGCTAGCTTACTAGCTAAATTAGCTAGCTAGCTAATACATGGGCTATGCTAATCGATGCAAAGGCTGTTATCTAACGTTAGCTAGCTAGGGACAAGTCAACAACACAGAGACACTCATATTGCCTTTGTCAATACTTGCAAGACGAGACACAATTCTCAAACAGTGAAATGACTATATAAAGGGCAAACATTTATGTTACCTTGACAGATGAACAACAGTCGGTGCTGGGCTGGGCCGTGTTGCGGTGCGGTGACAGCAGTGAGCGCGCGCAGTGAGCGCGCATTCAAATCAAATCAAATCTTATTGGAGGCGTCGCGTACAGATATTTAGAAGACGTTATTTCGGTTGTAGCTAAATGCTTATGTTGCAAGCTCCAACAGTGCAGTAATACCTGACAATACAAAATAATACATGCAAATCCCTAAAATAAAAAGAAAGGAATTAAGAAATATAGAAATACAGTTGAAGTCGGAAGTTTACATATACCTTAGCCAAATACATTTAAACTCAGTTTTTCACAATTCCTGACATTTAATCCTAGTAAAATTACCTGTCTTAGGTCAGTTAGGATCACCACTTTATTTTAAGAATGTAAAATGTCAGAATAATAGTAGAGAGAATTATTTATTTCAGCTTTTATTTCTTTAATCACATTCCCAGTGGGTGAGACGTTTACATACACTCAATTAGTATTTGGTAGCATGGCCTTTAAATTGTTTAACTTGGGTCAAACGTTTCGGGTAGCCTTCCACAAGCTTCCCACAATAAGTTGGGTGAATTTTGGCCCATTCCTCCTGACAGAGCTGGTGTAACTGAGTCAGGTTTGTCGGCCTCCTTGCTCGCACACGCTTTTTCAGTTCTGTCCACACATTTTCTATAGGATTGAGGTCAGGGCTTTGTGATGGCCAATCCAATACCTTGACTTTGTTGTCTTTAAGCCATTTTGCCACAACTTTGGAAGTATGCTTGGGTCATTGTCCATTTGGAAGACCCATTTGCAACCAAGCTTTAACTTCCTGACTGATGTCTTGAGATGTTGCTTCAATATATCCACATCATTTTCCTTCCTCATGATGCAATCTATTTTGTGAAGTGCACCAGTCCCTCCTGCAGCAAAGCAACCCCACAGCATAATGCTGCCACCTCCGTGCTTCACTGTTGGGATGGTGTTCTTCAGCTTGCAAGCATTCCCCTTTTTCCTCCAAACATAACGATGGTCATTATGGCCAAACTATTTTTGTTTCATCAGACCAGAGGACATTTCTCCAAAAAGTACGATCTTTGTCCCCATGTGCAGTTTTAAACCGTAGTCTGGCTTTTATATGGCGGTTTTGGAGCAGTGGCTTCTTCCTTGCTGAGTGGCCTTTCAGGTTATGTCGATATAGGACTCGTTTTACTGTGGATATAGATACTTTTGTACCTGTTTCCTCCAGCATCTTCACAAGGTCCTTTGCTGTTGTTCTGGGATTGATTTGCACTTTTCGCACCAAAGTACGTTAATCTCTAGGAGACAGAACGCGTCTCCTTCCTGAGCGGTAGGACGGCTGCGTGGTCCCATGGTGTTTATACTTGCATACTATTGTTTGTACAGATGAACGTGGTACCTTCAGGCGCTTGGAAATTGCTCCCAAGGATGAACCAGACTTGTGAAGGTCTACCATTTCTTTTGATTTTCCCATGATGTCAAGCAAAGACGCACTGGGTTTGAAGGTAGGCCTTGAAATACATCTACAGGTACACCTCCAATTGACTCAAATGATGTCAATTAGCCTATCAGAAGCTTCTAAAGACATGACATCATTTTCTGGAATTTTCCAAGCTGTTTAAAAGGCACAGTCAACTTAGTGTATGTAAACTCCTGACCCACTGGAATTGTGATACAGTGAATTATAAGTGAAATAATCTGTCTGTAAACAAATGTTGGAAAAATTACTTGTGTCATGCACAAAGTAGATGTCCTAACCGACTTGCCAAAACTATAGTTTGTTAACAAGACATTTGTGGAGTGGTTGAAAAACAAGTTTTAATGACTCCAACCTAAGTGTATGTTACTTCCGACTTCAACTGTATAAGAACGAGCGATGTCAGAATCCGCAATATAAATATATATGTATATTATGGTGTGTATAGACATTATGGGCAGTATATGAATAAAAAAAAGAGTACTGCTGTAGTTATAAAGGATAGGTCTTGACTAGAATTAGAATACAGTATATACATATGAAGTGGGTAAAACAGTATGTAAACATTATTCAAGTGACCAGTGTTCAATGACTATGTACATAGGGCAACAGTTTCTAAAGTGCATGATTGAGTACAGGGTGGTAGCCAGCTAATAACAGTGACTAAAGTTCAGTGCAGGGTAATGGGCAGCAGAGCCACGGGAAGTAGGGGTGCTGAGGGTGCTGCAGCACCCCATGAAAAATCAGGAATCAAAAATATAAAAAAAAACGTTTTTTATTTTTCTTCTTCACAAAAGTAGTGCACTGAGCCTTTACTAGTCCGCAATTAGCGGACCGATACAGCAAAAATGTATTCCACTCATAATTTAGCCTATTGTTCTGACTTGGTGGTGCACATGTAGCCTATAGCCTATTTTAGAGAAATGTAATCATCGAATATTGTAAGAGCTTTCATTGTCTGCTTATATGCCCCCTTTATTTATCCTACGGTTCTGACTTCATGTACAGGGAGAATACTGTAAGAATGGCCGATGATCTGAATTCTGTTTCTGTACATTTCAAAAGTGCTGAACAAATACTTGTATTGACTACATCTGTCCTAGCGTGCTCATTAATGTCTTAATCCAAATTATGGATTGCCTCTTATCCACTCGTCGTCCCCTTATGCCATAGTTTGTACATCTCAATTGTCAGTATAAACCACATTTGTTTAAGCATGTCAGCCATATCCAATGTTTTTTTTTAAAAGGCAACAAAGGAGGCTGAATGAACTGTTTCGCTGCCAGACAAGGCTCCGCTGATAGTCATGTGTAGCGGTGGTAAGGTTTGGGACTGCTGTTGGGACACTGCTGTTGGGACAGCTTTAAGTAGGCCCTAACAGTTTGTGGGCACTGTTTGTCACCGTTATAGTGCAATTAATGTATTGTTTAGTGTTGTGGCTTGTTGGCATGCATCTAAAACATTTTGATTTTTTTTGTCCCACCAAGATTTACATGCTAAAATCGCCACTGCACATACCCGAGACTCGTGGCAATTATATCAGACCCGACCCAGATCCGAGACAAAAGACAGAATTTAGGACCTGGACCCACTCGGGGTCGGATCTCAGAATTTTGGGTCTGGTGGACCCGTGAAGACCTCTACCACCATCTAACCCTACACATACAGTGGGGAGAACAAGTATTTGATACACTGCCGACTTCGCAGGTTTTCCTACTTACAAAGCATGTAGAGGTCTGTCATTTTTATCATAGGTACACTTCAACTGTGAGAGACGGAATCTAAAACAAAAATCCAGAAAATCACATTGTATGATTTTTAAGTAATTAATTAGCATTTTATTGCATGACATAAGTATTTGATCACCTACCAACCAGTAAGAATTCCGGCTCTCACAGACCTGTTAGTTTTTCTTTAAGAAGCCCTCCTGTTCTCCACTCATTACCTGTATTAACTGCACCTGTTTGAACTCGTTACCTGTATAAAAGACACCTGTCCACACACTCAATCAAACAGACTCCAACCTCTCCACAATGGCCAAGACCAGAGAACTGTGTAAGGACATCAGGGATAAAATTGCAGACCTGCACAAGACTAGGATGGGCTACAGGACAATAGGCAAGCAGCTTGGTGAGAAGGCAACAACTGTTGGCGCAATTATTAGAAAATGGAAGAAGTTCAAGATGACGGTCAGTCACCCTCGCTCTGGGGCTCCATGCAAGATCACACCTCGTGGGGCATCAATGATCATGAGGAAGGTGAGGGATCAGCCCAGAACTACACGGCAGGACCTGGTCAATGACCTGAAGAGAGCTGGGAGCACAGTCTCAAAGAAAACCATTAGTAACACACTACGCCATCATGGATTAAAATCCTGCAGCGCACGCAAGGTCCCCCTGCTCAAGCCAGCGCATGTCCAGGCCCGTCTGAAGTTTGCCAATGACCATCTGGATGATCCAGAGGAGGAATGGGAGAAGGTAATGGGTCTGATGAGACAAAAATAGAGCTTTTTGGTCTAAACTCCACTCGCCGTGTTTGGAGGAAGAAGAAGGATGAGTACAACCCCAAGAACACCATCTCAACCGTGAAGCATGGAGGTGGAAACATCATTCTTTGGGGATGCTTTTCTGCAAAGGGGACAGGACGACTGCACCGTATTGAGGGGAGGATGGATGGGGCCATGTATCGTGAGATCTTGGCAAACAACCTCCTTCCCTCAGTAAGAGCATTGAAGATGGGTCGTGGCTGGGTCTTCCAGCATGACAACGACCCGAAACACACAGCCAGGGCAACTAAGGAGTGGCTCCGTAAGAAGCATCTCAAGGTCCTGGAGTGGCCTAGCCAGTCTCCAGACCTGAACCCAATAGAAAATCTTTGGAGGGAGTTGAAAGTCCGTATTGCCCAGCGACAGCCCCGAAACCTGAAGGATCTGGAGAAGGTCTGTATGGAGGAGTGGGCCTAAATCCCTGCTGCAGTGTGTGCAAACCTGGTCAAGACCTACAGGAAACGTATGATCTCTGTAATTGCAAACAAAGGTTTCTGTACCAAATATTAAGTTCTGCTTTTCTGATGTATCAAATACTTATGTCATGCAATAAAATGCAAATTAATTACTTAAAAATCATACAATGTGATTTTCCGGATTTTTGTTTTAGATTCCGTCTCTCACAGTTGAAGTGTACCTATGATAAAAATTACAGACCTCTACATGCTTTGTAAGTAGGAAAACCTGCAAAATCGGCAGTGTATCAAATACTTGTTCTCCCCACTGTATACACCGCTATACCAAACAAAAACGATCCCTTTCTCCCTACTTTAACCCTACCAGATCCTAGTCCAGGCCAACAGCCTGGGAGAATGGAACCCATTCTCTTAAAGCCGCTGTAGATCATCTGCACTAAAATCTCATACACCCAATAATGTCTCTGCTGCTGCCACATCTATTTTCTGGGATTTATGCTCCATCAGTGCAGTACAATTAATAACAATAGCTAGAAACACAATAAATCCTATCTTGCTAAAGCTAATCCTCTCTGGATGTCTCTATTCAGGCATGCTCACTAGGGGGCTCCCAGTCGATATC